TATCATTTTCTTGGGCTAGCCTTATCATTTTCTTCATAGTGAAGTATTTAAAAAATACAATGATTAGTAAAGAAGATGACTTTGTAGTTATGATCTTTGGTAAATTTTTTGATTGTTAGAAAGCTAATTGCAAACTTTGAAATATTTATTACATTACTAAGTGTTAGGATAGGGGAAAGTAAGATATCATGTCCTGCAATAGTTGTTAAATATATATATATATATATATATATATATTTATAACTTCTATTTTTTAATTTCTTGGAGAAGATTTGTAATTTTAGATTTTGTTGGCAATATTTTTCACTTGATTAGTGGCCCCTAATTCTAAGATCCAGGAAAGGGAGGAATTATTTGAGGCGCTGAAAATATAAGAATTATAATTTTACTATTATATGCAAGAGAGCAAAAGCAAGATCAAGATGAGTTTTCTAAGAAACATAGAAAACTCATTAATTTGTCAATTTCCTCTAACTTCACAAGGCAAGTCTATCTTTTTTTTCTTATTTTCGTCTTTATTTCTTCCATATCCATATGGCTTTTCGTGGATTTTCCAATATTTATTTTTGGTTTGTCATTTCTTTTTGAATGGATGCATTAGAGATTGCCTTTAGAGAAATTTGGTCTTCTTTTTTGAGAATTTTTTGTGATAGAAAATTTTTTATCTTGAGATTCAGATATTTTCATGATAGATATTTTGAGTGCTTGACCATTGATCATCATTGCCCTTCTTACTTCTTTAGAACGTGTGAGAAAAAGTAGTTCATTTGAAGAATGGAGATTTTCTATGCTTAAAATTTGGATTCAAATTTGTTGAAGTTCATTATTGAGTTTTGTTATGGAGTCAATGGTTCTCTCTTGATTCACAAATTGCTTGAGGATCACCACATTTTCATAACAAGTTATCTTGAAATCTTTATAGTAGTCATACTCCAACCAGTAAAGCTTAATTATAAGTATTCAATGACAATATTACTTGTGCTAACAGTGGTGAGTTTTGTTGAATTTGCAACATATTTTACTTTTGAGTAGATTTATTTTACAACATCCCCATATTTTTTTTCGGTGTAGAGGAATATAAGTAGCCTGTTGATCTCTGATAGCATGGTGTTCCATAATAATGATATGATCATAGAATCAACTTATTCCTAAAATATGAAGTTCGAATTATTAGATTCCGAAAGTAGATCTACAAGATGTTGGATCATATCATTTGCTTTCAAAAAGTTATTCATGATTTGAGACTTTTTAAGGTTATTTAGTTTTATTCAAACGATAAGATGCTTGAAATCCTTGAAGTTCTCCCTTGATCCAGTTTACATCATCGGTCATGGTTAATTATTTTGAAGGAAATTCAAAGAACTCAGGCATGATGAATACAAGTTGAAGTTGATAAAAGGAATAAAGTTGTAAGTTAAAACCTAACCTTAAAGAATGAGAAAAAATTAAAGAAAAAGAATCTCATCTGGTTCTGATATCATGTGGAAAATAAAGCAATAAAGAAAAACTCTTACCAATATTCTAGACCTCAACCAAAGGTGAGGTCAACAGGAGGTATATATGTATTTCTGAGAGGTATTGCAAAATAGGAATAAATACCAGCAGCCCTAAAGAAAAGCATGTGGAGTGCAATCGAAGGGCCATAATGAAATTGATCTAATGGTATCAGGCATTGGTTCGTTTGACTTAAGTTCTTTGTTATGATTGGAGAGTGAGTGAGCCAATTAAGGAAGAGAGATAAATTCAGCAATACATTTCTTGGCATTGATAAAAAGTTATACTAAAATAATTCTCCCTCCAAACCTCAATATATTTTCTAATTCAATATTAGAAGGAACGAAGTGTTCATGCAATTCTTCTAAATTTTCATCTTTTTGGAGCCATGCTTCATCTATAAAAACAAAAACTTTACACACATTGATGCTGCATATGCTCATTATTCTAGCATTCGAATCAAATGATTTTCTTAGATGTTGAAGGTAGTATAATGTTAGGCTTGGAAGTTAATGAAGAAGATTAATGAGACATTTTGGTATTGGAAGTAGTAAAAGTCTAATACTAGACTTTGAGAAGTAAAAAAACTATAGTGAAAAGTTTCTTTAAGGGTTTGAGCATCTAGGAGTTCAACACCACTTCTAATTTCTAGTCTAAGACCTATTACAAACTTATAGCCAAGTTATTAATGAGTGCCATTACATCTTCTCTTACAAATAAACTCTCAAATATATTCAAATGTTCAGTAGCTTACATTCTTTTGAGCCTCAAAGAAAGGAGTTTAATTTCGAAAACAATATCATGTTGTCTTTGGCAATATTCACCCTTAACTTCACACTTATTTCGATTGAACTAAGATGTTGTCACCCGACATTTCTTCCTTTTGCGAAATGTTATTGAGCTATTCCTAGCATGAATCACCTGTTTCATTTTAACAAATTAGACTTTTAAAAATCTTTCACATCAAGCCAATTAATAAAAATCATTTATTTGAACTTATTAGGATCATGAATCCCATCAATGGTAGGTGCTTCAAATCCAACTCTTTATGTGGGATCATTTAACTTTGACTATAATCCCTTCATCTACTTCTTTGGACTCTTTTAATCAAATTATTTTTCTCTTCAAGGATTTGTAGGGGTTAGAGTTTGTTGATTATTATGTTTAACATTGAATTTATCTTTCAAAGTTTTATTTTTTTCCTGCAAAACAATTTTCATCTGCTTTAACTCTGTTGGCATGTTTCTCAAAGCCTAGTGTCTTCATTAGGGTTTATTGTAGGTGCTTGCTTAGGAGACACGATGAAAATGCAAATAGGATAATGAAAATGCAAGTGGTGATATAAAAAGAAATTAATGGTCTTTTTTGAAGAGACTTAAAATCAAATTAAGGCAATATTTAGTAAAGACTGATCAAGCTAGAACATTTTAATCCCCAAAAATTAAGCCAGAATATTGTAATCAAGGTGAGGGCTTACATTTTAAGGTTGCACTCATCACTCAAGAAAACTCAAGCAGGTAAAGGTAAGCTTTTTGAAAATAGATGGTGTTGTAAAGGTGGAGATCTTTAATTGAACTTTTGCAATTTCTAAATTAACATAAAAAGAAATCCTAATCTTAAATAGAAAGTAGATTAAGGTAAGCTTTTGGAAAATTGATGTTGTTGTAAAGGTGAAGACCACTACATAGACTTCATGCAATGTTTCTGTGAATTACACAATAAGACTCAAACCAAACCCCGGTCTTAAATAAGAAGGAAATATAACCTTGAGAGAATAAAAACCATTAGGATAGAGTAAGTTAAAGAAAATAAAAACCAAAAGGATAAAGTTGTTACTATAATTGTAAGAAGCACACCTTCCAAAGGCACTTGAAGCTTGCTCCGAATTGAAACTAAGTTTTCTGATTCCTAGATTTGTCTCAAATACCAGTTGTTATGGTAGTGGATTAAAGTGTAGCTGGGTTTGACGGTAACATTTTTGTCGTGCTTTGTCGAACCATGCATGGCAGCATTTAATTCAGAAAGTTAGTTGCTTTGCATGTCCGATTTGTAAAAATTTGCACTTTTCAATACAAAATAAAAATGTAAATTGCATGAAAGTACAACTAAAGTTCATGAATACATAAAAATATAACATCATCCTTATTTTTTGCATCTAATTTGAGACATAGTAACAAGTCTATGTGGTTTTGGAGTTGGTGGCCCTACATCACTTTTAATCAAGAAATAACATAATTTGGGTTGCACTAAAATATAACCTTTTATTGACAAGTATGATTTTGTTATTTTATGTAATCTATGTAATCCCCTTCCTTTCATCTCTCTCTCTCTCTCCCCCTCTTTTTTCATTAATGAGTATTTGAGAAATAAGTGCCGTATGCCAACTTGTGTGAACTCATCCCATGACGTTTGGATTTAAAATTCACTTTCGTTGATTAAGAGGTCAAGGGTATCAGAATTTTTTAACATGATTGTGGAAATCTAGGAGGATCGGCCTCCTTCTATGGTGGGCTTAGGCCAACCATTCAAGGAGTAATGGATGGTTTAATTGGAGACAATTTGGAAAACTTATTGATTAGTTTTTATTCTATTCCTATTTATGTTAATTTCAGAATTATTTCTTTTCCACATTCAGGTTACATATATTTGGTAAGATTGTAAATTAGGAGACGGATTTTTCTATATATATAGCCTTATGGTTGAAGATTGAAAATGATAATTGAGTCAGTATTTCCCCACATATATTTTATTTCTTCATATGTGTTATATGAATCGTTCTTAGTTTTAGTATTAAAATTCATTAAAAAGCATTTTTGCCAAAGGCACAGCGTAATATGTTTTATAACTCATAGCCTGGTAAAACAAACCTCTTGCGCCATTGTCATGGCTAGGAGCACAAATATAGAATAACATGCTCTATGTGCGCTATTCTTGAGCATGCACTTAAGTGCGTCGTTCAGATGACCCAAATTAGTTAGTTTGTTTTAATCTTTTGGCAGGTTTCTGAATGACACAAATTATGTTATTGAGTAATTAGCAAGAAATTTGGATGACGAGTCAAATGAAGAGAATGATTCAGTTTTCGGTGAAGAAAACTTGACATGGAATACTATCATAAGAGATGGTGGTTTCTACAAAAGAAGCTATGATTTTTTGAGCCAATCGGAAGGTGTAACAAGAAAAGAAATCTTAATCTAGACTTAGCACCCATACATTGGGACTTGAAAATGACTACCTGTGAAGATTATTTAAAGGTGGTGCTATTTTGATTTATGATAATGATAATTATTATTACTCGGCTTTTTTTATGAAAAATATGAGACTTCTAGGTATTATTTCTTATGTTGTTTAAGCTCTTTAAATTAGCATTTTGTTTCAATTTGGTTGTCTTTCAATAGTCTTCACGCATGTTAAAGCAACCTTACATGATTCAAATACTAAGTTAGTTTTGGTATGCAACCTTACATGTTAAAGCAACCTTACTGTTCTTCGTTTCTTCTTAGCAGGCTCTTTTAAATGGGAAGCCTACAGTTGTTGAGTTTTATGCAGACTGGTGTGAAGTATGCAGAGAACTAGCTCCAGATATCTACAAAGTTGAACAGCAGTACAAGTGAGTTCCTTGATTCCTTCTTTATTTAGTGCTTAAGCTGCAGGAGGATTCTATAACAAAGTCTTTCATATATGCGCATAACATGGTCTGCAGGAGGATTCTATAACAAAGTCTTTCATATACGCGCATAACATGTACATTTATTTTCTTTTTATTCTATCCAAAAAAATGATCATTATCTCTCAGGGACCGTGTCAACTTTGTCATGATGAATGTTGATAACACAAAGTGGGAGCAGGAGCTTGATGAATTTGGCGTCGAGGGAATCCCTCATTTTGCCTTCTTGGATAGAAATGGGGATGAGGAGGGGAACATTGTAGGCAGGCTTCCTAAGAAATATTTGCTGGAGAACGTTCAGGCTCTTGCAAAGGGTGAAGCATCAGTACCACATGCCCGGATGGTCGGGCAATACTCCAGTGCTGAATCCAGAAAGGTGAATCAGGTTAAGGATCCCCGAAGCCATGGGTAGGTAATTTTTTTTTTCCTAGAGCTATTTGTTGTTATTAAAAATTTAATATTGATATTGTTGCAAATATAATGTTCCCTCATATCTTGTAGATATTATTCTGTTAATAATAATAAAAATAAAACTTAGTTGATTTGAGGAGCTGAGACATGTCTTTATGCGAGATGAGAAATTCCTTGTTGAATATCAATCTACGTTTCTGTAGGATATGTGGGATCTTTTTTGTTTTTTTGGAAAGTTGTAATTTGATTTTAGGATGATTTATTGCATTAGCTTTTAATGTTTAAAAGCAATGTTTCCTTTATGTTCTCTTATTTAATTTAGATTGAAGCTGAGATCTGATATAAATAGCATTGACTATAATTGAAATATAGTTTTTGATGAATATATATTTTTTTATTATGCTTTTGATAATTCCAAAGATCATTTTCCCCTTCTAACTTTGAATTAAATTGCCCAAAGTGAGGCCGCTGCAAAGTCGCTAACTTCACATGAACATTTTGACACTGAGCTAGGGTAACTAAAGTGAATGTCATCCATGATTTGTGAGATTTAATAACTTTCATCCATGAACCAAAGTGCAACTAAATGGTGTATGGAGGACATGATTTGTGAGATTTAATAACTTTCACAACACCTCATTGACACTGAACTAGGGCAACTAAATGGTGTATGGAGGTTAGGAAATGAGTTAGATGGGTTGTGGGATAAGAAACAGAAATGGGAACGATGACGATGGTTGAGGAATGACGAAAAGTTGCTATTGGATAACAAATTGAATGTCGGAACAACAATTCAGTGGTTTTTTTACTGGAAATATCTTGGCAAATGGCGATGTACGGATGAAGAGGAGATTCTAGCAACTATTATCTTCAAGATACAAATTCAACGCTTGAAGAAAAATAGGCTACAATTGTCCAAGTACGAGAACGTAGGGATAAAAGTCTCTAAATAATAATAATCAAGCAAAAGTTTATAAATTAGCTTATAAGTAACATATCTATATTGAGGCATAAAATAAACACTAATTCTAAATAGACTAATATTACAATAATTGTAAAAGAGTCCCATCCGACTTTCTATTTTCAAGACAAGTTACGAGATATGATTCTTGCCCTATTGAATCCTGCATAAGCGGGGTTGTAGGATCCTGCGGAACCACACGAGACTACTCCCACGTCATTCTCCCTAGCTTGGAGAGGTTTATTCTTTTTCTTTGAAAGAACCATGATCTTACTATCCGATGTTCTTTTCCATAGAATATCTAAAGAGATTTCCAAAGCTATGGTTCACTATTTTTGTCTGATCATCTGTCTACTGATGTGTTGTTGAACTGAATTGAAACTTGGTGCTCAACTTAGCTCATAAAATCTTCTAGAAATAACTCAAAAAATTTTATCTCTATTTGAAGTGATGGATGCTTGAACTCCCTCAATAGTGACAACCTAGTAGTAGAATTTAAGTCATAAAAACTTGAAACCCTCTCAATTGGGGGCTATGTTTTGTATGGTATTAGCTCCTCGAAATCATTGTCTTCTAGGAAAACCAATGTTAGTTCTGCTAGTGGTTCTTTCAATATCCACAAAAAGATTGTTCATGGCACTATATTCATAAACTCTCATGAATGCCTATTATATCAGACTTCTTTCAAGGTAAGAATGTAATACACTTCTCATCATTTGTGAAAGAATACGTGTTCCTGTATCTATCATAATGCGTGCAACGATCGTACTGTCAAGGACGACCTAATAAGATGTGACAAACATCTATAAGTACCACACCTGCTCATGGAACTTGTCTCTAATAGAGAACTCGATGAGACATCTTCTATCACTAGGATTTTATTCCATTTCTTCAACCAATATAGAACAAAATTGGGTGTGCTTCTATGCTGCCAGGTTCAACTTGTTAATCATTTGAGTAAACATAACAATCTCATAATTGCTTGTGTTAATGATAAGACTAATGTTGGCATCAATTTTTGATGTCGCAAGTGTTGGATGTCTGCTCGAGCGCTATAGAACCTTGTTTGATGCATGTGTTAATTTCCGTGACGCAAGACATCCAATTGAGACCTTTCAGCGTGTGTTGAGGGGCACATAGCCAAAGTCATTATGCTAGGCTTTGGCTTTCACTTAGGTGAAGATCAATCGATATTTGGCTCTTCGGACGAGTTCGATTGGATTGACAAATGTTATTCATCGCGCTACGTGCAAAACTGGTTCGAATTGGCTTGACTGTTGATGAAGTTGTCTAGATGACTCCGGATGACGAAACGGACTGCACGAGTGCGTTTGAGACGTTAATTTCACCTATAGTGGATGTCTATTTTGCTACTGCTTTGTTGGTGGGCTAAAAATGTGCAAATTATCATTTGTGTTTGTTTGCAGAAAAAGTGGCCCGAACGACCCTGGATAACGAAACGAAGAATGCGAGTGTGTCCGGAATGTTGATTTTACCTAGGGGAAACATTCAATTCATTATGAGGTTGTGTCCGAGCTAAAATGCACAAATTGACATATATCTAAATTATTTTTTATTATTATTTAATATCAAAGTAAAATATATTATATTATCCTATTTAAGCATTGCATAAAACCTCTCTCCTCTATCCATCACAAGTGACCTAACCCTCGGCCGCCACCTTCATCTCGCGAGAGGAACCTTAGCCCGAGCTGCTTGGCAGCCGACCCTCTTCGCCGAAGCACACCGTCGGCCACCTTCGCTGAAGTCCGAGCTCCTCCAGCCGCCGGTCGAACCCGATAGTGTTGCATCCTTCTTTTTTTTGGCCAGTTGCATGTCAAGCCCTTCCCCCCTGCCGGTCTGCTTTGTTGGTATGTTTCCCGGTTGCTGGAGCTCCCGACCTCCTTGAGGCGATCCTCGTCGTCAAGCCTTCTTCCCAGCAGTCGGACGCCTACCTGTATGGATCCCTTCCTTCTCAGTTTGAAAAGCTCAGCTTTCTTTCTCCCTCACCAACAAGCGTGCAAGCCGGCCAGAACTTGGCTGGAAGCCTTCTCATCATCCTGTTTTTCTCCTTGCGATGCAGAGAGATCTGAAACCCCCATTTTTCTTCTCCTTCTATTGTGTGTTTTCACTAAAACCATGGAGGTTGTTGGATGAAGCTTGGGGGATCCAGGGCTAAAATCAGTAAAGCCCGAATTGGTGAAGTCAGCGGCCTTCTTCTCATCAAAACCGACCATCCGACAAGACTTAGGTCAAATCCATGTTAAATCTTGTTCTAAATCCGACATAAGCAATCCTCATTAAAGGGTATATTGTTGATATGTTGTGATCTCTTTCATGGTTGGGGGATAATAGAGATGAGCTTATAGTATTGCATTCTCCCTCATAATGGGGTGACCTTGTTGGTTTTCATTTCTTGTCTGCTGGGACTTTGTTGGAGCTCCTACCACAACGTTGCGACGACATCGTTGTAGCTCGTATTTCCGAGCAACCCTTTACACAGGTACGTTTTGGTCATATTAGGGTTAGTGGTGTTTAGGCGTGTGGGTTTGATTGCCCTCACGAGGTGTTTGCGCTAGTGTGAGCCGGCGTTGTTAGGCGCATTCGTGATGTATTGTTTATTCACCTAGAGCTAGCCTTTAGGTTAGGACTTTTTATACGTGACCGAACACTCTCCGTAGAGCCAAGTGTCTCTCCTTTGTTGTGGCCTTAGCATAAGTTCTGATGGGTCGGAGTCCTTCACTCCCCTTACTCTGGATTCCCCAAGTTTACTTGGAGAAACTGAGAGGTCAGACTTGGAAAAGCGATAGAAGCTTTGTAGTTGGATCACTTTGCGAAGTCTGGAGAAGTTCACGAGCTAGCTCATTTCGTGCGCCGTGTGGAGAGTTTCCCCCTTGGAGATCCTAGGAGAAAATTTCCACATTTCCTCACCAAAGTAAGAGGCGGCGATGCCGTTTCCCAGGTGAGGTCACTAACATGGGCTTGGTTGGCTATCTGCATGTTGGTTTGCTTCAGATTGCACTCATTTTGCTTTGGGCATATTTGCATTTTGCTTTGCTCCGACTGGTCATCCTGGCTTGGTGAGCATCTCACTTTGGTTCGACCGTCCGCCCCGGCTCGGTTAACCGATTACTTTGGCTCGACCAGCAGCCCGACCCGGTCAACCGTGCACTTTGGTTTGACGGGCCACCACAGCTCAGCCGACCGATCATTTGCATGCTTGTATGCTTTTTTGGATCATTTTGCATACTCGTTTGCATGTGCTTGTTTGCTTGCTTGTATGATGCATTACATCTTGTATGTGTTAGCTTGCACGATCACTATCATTTTCTTGTGTTGCACCTCTTCTGGTCGCTGCCTCCATAACATACCCATTTCATGGGCCTCAATCTCCACGACACGCCCACCCTTCAGGTCACTATCTCTGCGGCACACCCATCTGTCCTCGGGTCACTGCCTCTATGACACACCCACTTCTCGAGCCCCTGCCTTTAGGGCAAGCCCATCCTCGGGTCATGGCCTCTACGACACACCCACTTCTCGGACCCCTGCCTCTATGGTATGCACATCCTCGGTTCACTGCTACCATGACATACCCATTTCTCGGTCCCTACCTCCAAGGTGCGCCCATCATTGGGCCACTACCTCCATGGCACACCCACTTTGTGGGTCGCCACCTCTACGGTGAACCCAATTTTTTGAGTCACTGCTTCACGACACACTCATCACTTTTGGCATTTGAATGTTTGCATTTGCATTTACATGTTTGCATGGATAGCGAGCCAGGCTTAGTAGGTGAGTGACCCCGTGTCGGTCGCGATGCCTTAACGAGCATTGCTTTCCAGGTCGACCCCGAAGAGAAATGCGAGTTAAGTCACCGTGATTGACACCAATATGACTGTGCTAAGGATCCAATGGATCTAACTTGTGTCACCCCTCTTCGTGACGCCTGTTAGATCCTTCGGATCTTTAAGACGGGTCCGACATGGCTACCTCGTCATACCCTGTCTTACCTCGCACTTAGATACTAGGTTAATGCACTTTCTCGGTAGATGGCGTTCTAGGCTAGGATTTACGTTGCTACGTAGTCTTTTTGATGTCTGGCTAGTTTTCCTTGCTGGATTGGTTGCCCTAGTCAGGTATCATTCTTTTGCATTGTGCCCATGGTGCGATTGCATGCTTCATATGTATGGTAGTA